GTATTTATAAAAATGAAGTGATCGACACATTTGTTATTGCACCACGTACGAGGTCGATTGCCTTAACGCACAACCACCCCTCCCTAATCGCGTACGTACTTTTAAAGATATTTTCATCTTTATTATATTCCGTTAATAATCAATCAAGGAAATATATAACGTTCTCTTATATATTCATAAAATACGATGTCATCCCTCTTCTCAGCCGCGGCTTTACATTCATTTTCTCATATCATATATGCAATGCACTTTGCGCTACGACAATTGTTTTGGTACGATTTTTTTGGCATCGACGACTCAAACGGCTGTAACGGCCCCTCGGTAGCTACCTCTAGTAGCTTCTCCAAGGACTTCAAGTCTAGCATTAAACTACGTTCTTTTAATCTAATGATAATTCAGGCTCTGCCACATCTCGACATAGAGAAGAGAGAGCTAGAGAGAGAGAGATAGATAGATAGAGAGAGAGAGAGAGAGAGAGAGAGAACGCTTTACATTATGAGATTTCTAATTTCCATCTGTCCGTCGTCATGATAACAGTCTTCCAATATATATATATATATATATATATATATATATACAATATATATTCGATGTAGCAAAAACAATTTTTGGAGATAAAAAAATATAAAGGAGAAAATGACGTGGATGTCGAGAATAATGATAATGGCGAGGACGAGGACGACGACGAGGATGATGATGACGACGATGACGATCACAACGCTGATAATGCCAATGAGCAGTGGATGAAGGGAAGACAAAATCACGACGACGAGTCGAGTTTCTTTCTGGCATATCAAACAAAATTGTTACAACGTATTATTTACTTATTGTAAAGTAATTTAAAAGGACGAAATGCAAAAAGACGGAAATACAGAGAAAATTTACGTGGAAGACGAACAGAGCGAATGGAGAAAGTTACGAGCTGTTAAACTCGCTTATAACACAGCCCACTTCGCGCGTATAATCTAACGTCAAATATACAAGATAATTTGTACGCGTGTTTACTCAGTGCCGTAAACTCGTATGCCATTTTCTCTCCGTTTACATTAATATTGCAATTGTGGACAATGATTTATGCACTAAGAGTCGCCAGCAGTAGCCCGTGTACGCGCATCGTGTGCGTGGCCATTGAAAGCCCAATGAGATTGGAATACGGAACTGCTGGGACTGTTGTGGAGGAGCCAAGCGATGATCGGACAAAGTTGCGAAAGCCGAATGACATAATTGGAAGTTAGTCGGTATCTCTGTAAAATGCACCGATCGATGCGGGTCAAAGGTCACGGAAACTAGACTTTAAACGCGCGCAGCGTAGTCTTGAACGTAATCGCGGATAAACGATAAAGCGCACGAGAATCGACGATCGTTTGAAGTTTATCGCGCGAAATTTACAAAATTAAACTACGACGGGTGGAAGTCAGCGATAAGGATGAGCTATTTGCATGTAGTTGAGAGAGGAGAGTGAGAAAAGCGTGTACCGCGTGCGCAATAACAAACAACAAGTGCCGAAGTTGACGAAGTTGTCTTGATCTTTGAGAGGGTATCGCCGTAACCATCGTATCGCTCGCTCTTTATCAATTGCGATGCCGTAATCCTCCCGACTAGTGGATATTCGTATTCTTCATCTCCTTCGCAATTACACGCGGACTTTGATCTCGCGCACGAGCATTCTCAACTCTTACAAATCTTACTCCTCACTCGATTCGATGCCTCTCTACAATTCGCCCTTCCTCATAATTGGCTCGATCTGATCGTCCTCCATCGCCTCCCAACAACCATACGCCCCGACAGACACGACTACTCGGCCCGCGCTGACGATTACTGCGCATGCTCACGATATCCAATCATATGCAATCAGGTACAAGATTCGTATTAGGATGGGTAATCGAGCTCTTACCCAATGATGCTGCAATTGCACGTGACCATTCGCATTAATCGTACCGCTGGCCGCCTCTCGAATCCATGCCACGCACAATTCTAGAAAATCACAATGACGACGAGACTGACGGTAGATCGGTCGCAACCGTCCGTCAACCTACCTCCACTCCCTTCCAACAGCCCGTATTATCGAGTCGCCCTTGGTTCGGTCGCCTAGCTCCTCGACTAAGCTCGACTTGGCTTCACGAGGTCAGACGATTGGCGACGGCGGCAGCTCGCCTCACGGTCCAGGATGGCTAGGCTCCTCGGATCGGGGGCCTGAGCGAGATGCGCTGAATTACAATCCGGGCTTGATCGATGCACGGTACACTGCACGTGCCGCACTTCTCCCAATCCGGACGGAGACTCGCTCCTTGTGTTTTATACTCACCGGCAGCCTCATGTCCAGCGCGGTCGCTGTCACAGGTAGACCTCGGGACTGGCTGGTGCAGGCTGCTGTTGTTGCTGCTGTTGCTGATGCTGCTGATGCGGATTCGGTGTATGCTGCTGCTGCTGGTGCTGCTGCTGTTGCTGTTGCTGCTGTTGCTGCTGTTGCTGCTGTTGCTGCTGTTGCTGGTGAGGATGTGGCGGTGGCGGATGGTGGGGCTGGCGGCTCCTCAGGACCGTCTCGTAGCGTTGCTTGTAAACGTCGCGCTCCTGTTGGGTGCGGGCCAGCTCGAGCTTCAGCACGTCAATCTCGTTCTGGAGATTGTGATTCGCGGTCTCGAGATCGTGGCGCTGCTGCATCCGCTTGCTACGACAGTTCTGCGCGTAGCCGCGGTTCTTCAGCGTGCGCCGCTTCTGCTTCAGTCGCACTATCTGCCAAGCATGAGTTGCGAAATACGACATTTATAGCACATGGTGTGGAACCACGGGTGTCTGGTACTTGGGCGCACCTGGTGCTCTGCGGTTGGAGCATCGAGAGGGTAGATCGATGGGGAATTGAGGAGCGCCGCGGGTCCCGAGGACTCTCGACGCTCCTGCCGCAGAAGGGGCGCGTCGCGACATTTATATCCCCTGCACATTTTGCCATTTTTACTTTGGCAATAATCACATATTGCACGAACAATCTCAATAACCAGGCAAATACGCCTATTTATTGGTTAGCTCGCGTCAATCAGCTTTTCATGCTTCGACTTAATCATTTCCGGCACCCTCTTCACTTTATAAGTTTACAATGTTCGAGTAATACGGTTGCTTTTAATGGCGAAAAACTTTTATCGTTTATAGTGAATTAGCGTATTTTAAAAAGTTAAATAAAAAGTGTTGTATCTGTTATGGACATACAAATGCTTTATTAAGTAACCAAAAAAAAAAAAAAGAAAAAAAAGAAAAAAAAAGATTTGAAGTGTATTTTAGTTGCATACAATTAATGAGGTTTTCATGGGAGATAAAATTTTGTCGAATAGTTTTATCGTAATGCTTTATTGTAAAAGATTTTTGTTTTGTCGGGCAGTTAGCGAAGTAGAATCCGAAAGCGTTTTATCCTATTGAAAATGATAGGCTATCACTGCAGAATTTCTCAAGCACAATTGAATAAGCCTACTTTCTCAATCGTAGAGAAATTTAAATGTTTAATTTATGAAAATTAAACCACTCCCGAGGTAGGTAAATTTAAAGAAAAAAATTTGTTCCCTTTTGTTCATATTTCCTGTTTAAATTTCAATTATTATGTTTCTCTGTAAAATGCTCGTTATAACGAGGGGACAATTTTGATAAAGTTGTTTGATAATTTGCCTTACGTGAATTTAGAAAAAAAAAATATATATATATATATATGTGCGCGCGCGTGTGTGTGTGTGTGTGTGATTCGATTAGAGCTTAAATTAAATCGCGACGACGGGATTTCCATTTCGTGCATAAAACTTTCTAAGCGATAGAGCAATGAGCCTCAGTAATTATAAAACTTATTATAATCTTAATCATAAATCACGGCATGAATCAATCGATCAAAATTATATAACAGTCAGTTGTCTTCGTCGGTACGAAAAACTCTGATTCTGTGCCAGCATTATATCTCCCTTCCTCGACGCTCGTGCTTTTATATGAATGTAACTTACCATCGGCGCACTAACGATGACAATTAAATGTGTTACAATCTTTATATAATAAGAGAATGTAAACTCATGCATTGTACATGTGGACTATCAATAAGCAGTGCATTAGTGAAACATTGTTCTGGTGTAGTAGCGTAATAGAATATTGTAACGATAAAATACGTGACGTTTATCGATGCAGTATTATTGTAATTATAGAGCAAAGATTATATCATCATTGACCTTGATGTAATTTTTATTATGGTGAATTTTTTGTAATGACAGATGAGTGTCCGAAAGTGGACATATTTACCTCTGTTACGTAAATCATTTGTCGCTAATCATTCAATTGTCACTATTAAGCTACACCGATGTTTTTATTTTGTTTTGTTTTGTTTTGTTTTGTTTTGTTTTTTGTGTGATTTTTTTATTGTAACGAAAATTAAATATCGAGTTATTGTAATAATGATAGTCTATCGCGTGATTGTCAATAAATTGTTCGATTCAACTCATAATAAGATCATGGATATAAAATGAAAATTTATATTTTCTCGAGAATATCAAAATTAATCTCCTGCAAATTAGATAAACAATAATGACGCCTCAACCTGTTTATTCGCCAACTAAATTTATATTGAAAATCTTAGCGAGAAAATGGCAATTTTAACCAAATCCATTTGATATTTTGACTCGAATAAGATATCGAATAAGGCATTAATAAGGTTGCGGTTGGAATTATATATTATATAATATTTACAGGATATCGCTTTTACTCTCTAAAGATTCTATATCCGTTTACAAAATGCAAAGAGTTGCCGGTAATGTATGAGCTACGCTTTGGCATTTATTATATACATTTCCGATGATTCTTATAAAATTATAATACATCTATTTTATTTTTTCTTCTATTTTAGCTTAGAAAGACCTTATCATAATAGATATTTTGAAAAGTGGAATTGAAGTTTGTGAAAATTCAAGAGTTTTAAACGATTTTAAATAATCTGAATTTTATCGCGTTTGTTAATTGAGCTTTTATTTTTCAAATTGTCGCTAATGATTCGTTTCACATTCGTTGGCGTAAAATAAAAACTGTAAAAATGTAAAACTATATGAAACGTTTTTAAGATCCTATCGATTCATTAAATGCAATATACAACATTCAAAAGGACTCCTAATTTCATTCTTAGTCGCTAACGTTTTCATAAATATCGTCATCATTTTCATCGTCGCCGTTGTCGTTATTATTATCATTATACGATATTTAATTATTGTCAGCGGCGGCGGGGGGGGGGAATTAAAAAAAAATGACAGAACCAAAATTCGATTCCAGTGTCGATAATCCTAGACTATTTAAGCATTGAATTTTTATGATATTTTGATATTTATCGTAACAACGCATATTCAGCACGAGAGCTTTATATAAATATAAAATGTAAAGCGACAATGTAAATGTGACTAAAAGGTTAGAGAGCGCAGGATAAGAGTGTGATGAAAATAAAAATAAAATAAATTCTCATTGGAGGTGCGCACAATCATGTAGTCGCAACCCGTCCCCTTCGCCCGTCGACTCCGACTCAACTCCGACACTAATGGGACTTGCTGCCACTCCTCGCCGCCACCTCTCCTAAGCGCCCCCGGGACACGTGACTCGCGCGTAAAAAGAATTCGGAAACGAAGCTCCACGGCTAAGCCAATTGAGCTCCGTCCGCGGGCTGTGATCAAGGAATTTCCAGATACCTCTTCTCTAGGGCATCCCTGCAGCCGCTTGTTGAGCTCGCGGACCGAGAGGGACATGAGGAGCTCGTCGTTCATGAGGTCGTCGTGGCTGCCCGGCGGCTCCGAGCAATGCTCGTGGCTTCCCGCCGGACCCGAGCAGTGCGTTATGGAGGCCGAGCGGTGTACTGCGCAAATTCATAGACCTCGTGAGTGGGAATATCCGCACGTGCGACCAGCCTACTAGTACGAGTCTCCTTGCGACCTCGGGATTCTTGGGCCGTTGCTTTTGACGCTCGCGACCCCTCGACGCCGACCGACGCGACCCGCGACCCTCACCAGCATACTCGTCGTAGTCACGACACACTCCCTACCGGGAGATCGGTGACGATTATGCATCACGCCTTGAGTGCATAGGTGTCGAGGAGCGATCGAAGCGAATGCTCGTTCGAACTAGGGCGAGAGGAGCACCGTCCATAGCCAAAAGTCTATTTAATTTAATTAATATGCGCATGATATTAGGATCCTTTATTCTTGATATCAAATTGCCGCCGCGCGAATCGACCCCTCGCCATGCATTAACAATACGGACGAACGCAAATATGTCCAAATCCCGTTAGACTTCCGTTATATAATGGCAGCATTAACTGCGCCAAGTGGCGAGTTATCCAATGTCCTTTTAAATGCATTGTTTAGAGTTAAGTTTATCGAGATATCCTTGGCCAAGCAACTTCCGCCTCATTGGCAATTTGGAATTTTGAATTTTGAATTTTGAATTTTGCATTCGAATCGTTGAAGCGAATACGTAAGGACGTTAAACTTTTTTCTTAGCCATCGTTACGTAGTGAAAAAATACGCGGACTTTGACCGTTAATGGAAATTAAATGATTTCTTGATATCGAATCGGTCGGACGACCCTTCTCAACGACAATTCGACCTTCCCAATCGTTGTCAATGAGCGTTAGATCATCGTGAATCGTCGTGAAAATTAATGCCCCAAAAGCGTACAAGCTAGCGCATTCGTGAACTATTGACTACTTTGACCCCCGTATCTCTAAGGCTGATTTACTGATACGTCATAGTTACGGAATAATAGGAAATTCTTTGTAACCGATGTCTCGTTGTAAATTATTTCGTGGTCGTCCATCGATAATACCGATTGCCGATTAGCGTATCCAATGCTCGTTGTAATCGATCGCGCGCCCTCGCAAGCGTTAAGCTCAAATATGTTTTCCTCGACCGCGATCCATCAACACCAATCTCCCTTGGCGATCGATCGACTGACTCGTGCCGACCTGCCTACGCTACCCTATCCACAAAATCACTCACGAGCCCTTCGCGCGACCATCCACGCGCTCATCGGTGCTCGACGAGCTGCCGCAACCTCGGCGTCGCGTGCGTCAATCATCCCCCCCCCCCGCCCCAATACACCCGCCAAGAATCCGCGTGGCCGCAGCGTCCTCGTAGGTCCAAGTCGTCACGACTTAATCCTACAACACCTACTTCGAATGGTGTGCACGGGACTGGGTCCACCTGGTCCCTGGCTTGATCCCGGCCCGGGGCCGCACGAGCTCCCGGAGCATACGCTCAGCGGCCTCCCAGGCTGTTGTTGTTGTTGTTGTTGCTGCTGCTGTTGAATTTGCATTTGCATTCCATCGTCCAGCTGTACGGGCATCATACCGCCAGCGCCGTTAATGCCACCACCGCCTCCACCGGCGCCGCCACCGCCACTGCCGCCTCCGCCACCGGCGCCGCCGCTCGTGTAATACTCGATGTGGCCGCCCATTATGTAGCCTCCTGTAGCAAAAGTCTCGTCGATTATTTACGCCGAGCGGGGATTTCCCGCGCCCCAGACCCTGAATTCTCGAGTCCGCAGTTGTCGGGCTTTGCACGCGCCTTAAGACTTCGGTGATTCCGTCATTGCGGAACGCGCGCACCGCCGTTAGTTACTTAGCCGCGGACGGATTTAACGTTGGGCTTCGCTCGATGCTTCAGCATGTTTCCTCTTAGGATAAAATTATTCGATTGTTAAATGAAATCGCGAGTCCCGGCTTAACCAATACCTCAACTATTATAAATTTTTACCGCAAAGACTTTCACGCGACTATTGATTAAGGAGCTCGGACGAATTGCCATTATCATCGATGCGCGGATAATCTACTAATACAAAATATGCCCTGCCTATGAGATCTCTAGCCTATGAGCCTCCGAGCAACAATTACTAAAAATTAATCATTCAAAAAATTAATTATTCAAAAGGTGCTGAATTATTAGAAAAGCATTGAGAAATTTAACGGTACGATCGCTTCGTGCTAGACTCACCCTCCATTCCGCTATTATACATTGGAAACTACTAAGCGATATTTCTTTGAAAACTGCATTATTCCGATAAAATAATTGTACGAACTAACAACTATCTATAATGTACTTATCGACTTAGATACGCGACTAAACAAATCGTTAACACAATTTTTCACGTTTTTCTGAAAACTATGTCGAGGTTAGCATTATAATTTTCGGTCATTGGTCTTACGCCAATTTGGTAAATGATTCCATCCAATACCAATTGCATTAGATAATGATTTTTTTTATTTATTCGGATAAATGGAAAAAAGAAAAGAAACGATTCCTTTTATAACAATTGGTATTTTTTTTTTTTTTTTTGTAATTGTATTATGTAATTATGTTGTTGCTAGGTATACGTATTATTCTGTCTGATGAAATAAAATCCATCTGCAAGTATGAAATGGCATTACTTATATGCAAATTAGTTTAAGCAAATTTATCGAGACATTCAATTATTTTATAAAGCATTATTGTATTTATAGAATGATAATGTTATGTTTATTATTATTGGTCTAATCTTTTTTATTTCATCAAAATGCATTGATTGTCATACTTATAGAGATGCGCGCAGTGAAGTTAGAAGCATAAAATTTATATGTAAAATTATAAGACAGTAAAAATCGCAATTTTTTATAATTGCGTATCAGTGCAATGTAGCCGCTTAACTGATAATTCATTATTGTCGATTTTAGTATGAAAATATTAGTTTCTTAAATAATAACGCTTCTAATCTTTCCGCATGTGCTCAATTCAAATTGAAAATATATAATCATTTGTACTATTTGAATACAATCTGCAGATAAAATACAAAGAAGGAATTTTATGCGCCTACAGATATATCTATAAAAGCTGTATTTTACACATATAAACGAAGAATTAGAAAAGATGACAATATAATATAACATTCAAAATTTCTGATAATACAAAAATATTTCAATTATCATAATAGATTTTGTTATTGCCTTGACATTTATCTTAATTCGACCTTTTGTATGTAATTGTTTTTTTTTTTTTTCTTCAATTTATATCGAAATTTGTTTAGGACAAAGAGTGTCTATAATCCATCGGCACTGAAACTGTAGCGATACAAAATAAAAAAATAAAAAAAAATAAAAAATAAAAAAAATATTAAATAAGCATTATATTTAGATAAAATATGCTATTGTTTTATATATACAAAGTAATTTCTTGTTTATTATTATTATTATTATTATTATTATTATTATTATTATTATTATTATTATTATTATTATTATTATTATCATTATCATCATCATCGTCGTCGTCATCATCATCATCATCATCATCATCATCATCATCATCATCATTATTATTATTATTATTATTATTATTATTATTATTATTATACATATTAAGTGCAATTGAAAATTCTTACTCATGGAAATCCCGTATAGACAAAATGGTCTTTGAATGATAAAGTTTTTATCTGCAATTCATAAACAAGATCATAATGAATTGGCAGGAAGGGAAATTACAGAAAAATTCTTGAGAAAAGCTCGCTAAACAAAAGAACTTGGCGATCCAAAACAACAATTAAGCCCGCCGAATAGCTGGACAATATTGTTACTACTTGTTGCAAAACTTTTACTTGCATCTTGTACAATTTATCGCTCGTCTATTATTAATATTTTTTTTAATTATTTTAAATATGATGTTTCATTAAAATATTTAGCTTTCTTCAGATTATGAGCGAAATATCCAATTTATTTATAATTAACGAAACAATATGCATCGAGCTAGAAGTGTGTAATAATAAAACACGTAGAAAGAAAAAAAAAATACAATTAAAAAAATACCTATATTATATACTACTGTCAAATCATTATATTTTCATTGTTTTGTTTAGTACTCATGAAAATTATATATTGCCACGAGATTTATCCGATTCTACTGAACTTAACATTTTTTTTTTTTTTAGTTTTCAACAGTATAACGCGTTTCTCGTGCGTTAGGGGATTTCTATGTATAAGTAGAGCAAAATCTCATATACATTTGAATATTGAGCATTCTGAAATCAAATGTTAAACGTTATTACGGACGATTGAACTTTTTCAATTACATATATTTTTCAATCGAAAATCCATAATATTATTTCCTTACGCATAAATATCATTAAAAACTTGCCATTACAATACATTACTTTGTTTACATTTATTGCAATTATTATGATGTAAATGACCTTCATTATTGCTAAATTAAAATTAGAAATTGTATTAGACATTTGTATTTAACGATCTCTAATTTAACTTCTCTCTTGAGAGAATATTAAAAACCTTAATATCGACAAAATTTATAAACTTTTAAACAACTGTGGCATATAATAATACAGTAAAGTTATGAAAGGTGGGATTGATTAAGATAGTGGAATTTTCTATTTGGAAAGGCAACTAAAGTATCGTTTAAAATAAATCTAAACACTTTATTGATGTAAACCAATTACTTTGGTAAAGTCATTTGGTAAAGTGGCTTACTAGTAATGGTTCTTAGCAATAGTAGTCGTTCATAAAAGCGTACTTATGTAGAAAATCTAATGATTTACATTCTTATAACTTATTAAAAATAAATCCAAATGTTAAAGCTACGATAATGAAACAATCTGAAAAATTAGACGTTAAGCAATTCAGTATAAATTCGACATATTTGGTAAGTAAATGTAATTGTCAAGTATGTAAAATTCTTCGCTCTTAGTAGTTTTTACGAAAGGTAATTGAATGACATCGCGACACAATTATATTTGGGCTTCACCCCAATTATTGATTAAACATGTTTTATTTATTAAAAATTAAGGTTAAATTTCATAATCGGCGTTGCTAAAACAATTAAATCCTAGTCGTTTAATTAATCCCATTGATATCTTATGCAATTAGCTTATTCGACATTAAAATTAAAATAAATTGCGCTTGACTTTTTGTGCAAAAAACTTATTGGAAGTAACAAACAATAAAAGATGCAAGTGAAATCGATGTGCCATTTATAATTTAAGATTTATAATTCTTTACCCTTGACATTGGCTTAATATTTAATTGTAATTGTTACATATTTCTTAATAGCAAATTTAATATAATAAGTAAGATTTTTAATGTATTCTTAATAGATCTCGGGGACTTTAGATTTTCAAATAATACGTATATTTAAATGTTATTGTTTTATTGTTGTTGTTATTGATTTTATTGCGAAAATCTGATATTATGACTTGTAATTATGTGCATTAGATATATTTAAATGCATGCTTAAGTTCTTGCTTGGTCGATTAAAATAATTTAATTTATGATTATAAGACTTAGGTAAATACTATCCGCTTAGCTAAAACTGTCGATCTAAGAATCGGAGGTTATTATTTAATTATAATAAAGCCTAATTACACAAATAATAAGTATTTGTGAAACGAATATGAAAATTTATTTTCAATGATTTAATCATAATAATTATTGCAATCGTCGGAGTCGTGGCCCTCACACGTTCTATTTCAATAAATTAATTAATACTTTACATGAATTTGATTGTCAAGTCAAGTAAATTACAAAACAAAACGAAAAAATAAACTACCAAATTGCACACATAGGGATTGAATTATATATAATAAACATTTTGCTTTTTTTTTTCTTTTTTTTTTTTTTTTTATGATATTTATAAAAAATTAAGGTATTTGTATTTGTATTTCCATCGGTAAATATACATCATCAAAAACTATTCAAAACCTTATCTATGAATTTTTAATTATTTAATTAATCATTTTACTATATCAAATGTTATACGATGATAGACATTTTGTATTTCTTTAATCATTAGAAGATATTATTTTTTTTTTTTTTTTTTTTTTTTTTTTTTTTTATATAATATTCAAGGTAATAAAAACCGATAATAATTATCCAAGGGAAAGTGGATTATTGATTGAAATGATCGAAAGCTTTTTCTTAAACAACATCAAAATCTTGAAATAATATTGTAGCCGCAGTGTAATAAGCTAATAAGCGTACCGTAAGGCAAGTAATTATCATTTATATCATTAATTTGCTAGAAATTGCTTTTTCCGCCACTTTATGAAACGGTATAATAAACGATTCTTTTATTTATTGTTTATGTAAATTTCAATATAACTCCACATTTTTTTTGCAATATGCTTAATATATGCTTAGCGATACTGGCATTTTGTAGCTAAGAAATTTATATACGTAAATTGAGAAAAAAAATTGATTTACATCGAATGAAAGAATTGCAAATTTCTCTATTATTCGGGCATTCAACAATCACAACATAAATTGCTTATAATAGTTGTAATGTTATACATTACAAGCTGCACAGCACTTTACAACATTAATATCTCTATAATATTTATCAATATTTTGTATTTTTATTTATAATATTGGTGTTTTTGTGAAAACAAGAGAAAAGCTATGAAAAACCCTTTTGCCATTAAAGAGAATTATAATTGCCTACGTGTAAATGTAAATTTTTATATTACCACTGTTAGCTGTATTTAAGCATGAGTATTTAGTGTTTTGAGTATATTGACAGTTGTTGTGACATATCGATGAAACTAACGCCAGCGAAGCATTATAAATTTCTGACATTGACATTTTGCTTCTTAAATTCGTACAAAGTTAATTTGCATCGACCATACAGGCCAATTGGTTCACATAGTAATTTTGTGAATTCGAAATATTGTTTATAAATAAGAGGAGCCCTCAAAGATTCTTAAATGTCAACAATTATCTATAATTTAGCGCTATCTGCCGATAATGATAAGGGCTTTAGATTTCAAAGTCTAATTTGTTTTAAAGTTCACGTTGTAAACATTCTTCCCTGCGCTTACAAATAAATACCTAAGGCTCATACGATAATATCAATGCCTATCATCTCATGGCTCTCCCTATGCAAATTAATTTCATAACAGTAATGCCCATTCATCATTGTGACAATTGCGTCACAACATTTGTCAAACTATTTCTAATGAAAATATCTACGTAGCATTGCTTTTAACTCGGCAGTTTTCTATCATAAAGCCGACGCTCACGACTAGACGACGCGAATTCATATTCCAATTGAATTAGGCTGTGGCACGGCACAAACTGGAATGAACAACGCGCGCGCGCTCCGAGGGCTGATGGAAAGGGCCCCGTCATACAAATCCCCCATAACACATGGCAAATTCGGACATAGGAAACACGAACTTTCCTCGTTTCCCTACTCGCTTAAGCCAAGCTCCTTAAATGTGGTGATTTATTCGAGTATGCGACTTGGCCAGGGGATGGCTAAAGGCTCGAGCGCTCGAGCGCCGATTCCACGACGATTACACGACGATTCCACGACGATTCGACAGCGTCTCGAGTGGCCCCTCACTGTCCCGAGACATCACATCAACCAACACTTCATCATAGCTCGGTAAGTGCGGCCTTACCCACGACGAAAATAATCGAGCCTCTACAACGCCATCGGCTAACAGCACCAACTCCTACGGCACGTCCCGCTAGACCGAGCAGCAAATGCTCTGTCCTGCCTATTACCGACCATCCCCCCCCCCCGCACACACCGCCACGATAACCACGGGGCGCGACGCTCGACTGTTTCGAGGCGAGGGCTGCACGAGCGTCACTGACCGGAATTCGGGGCTTTAAACTGACCGGTGTGTCTGGACAGCCGTGCCGGGTGTCCTCCCTGATGATGGATCGAGTGATGATGGTGCTGGACGAGGTCCGGTAGGTGATGACCTGGCCAATGCTCGGCATCCATGTCGGCTTCGGGTCCGGGCTCGGGTGGACAGTGGGGTCTAAGATCCAGGGGTTCCTGTCGCAGACTCGGAGCGAACCACGGAACTCCGTCGGGTAAGATCGCCTCTGGCTGTTGGTGCTGTTGCTGCTGCTGTTGTTGTTGTTGCTGCTGCTGGTGTTGCTGATGCTGTTGTTGCTGTTGCTGTTGCTGTTGCTGTTGCTGTTGCTGTTGTTGTTGCTGGTGTTGCTGATGCTGGTGAGGATGTTGAGACTGCTGCTGTTGTTGGAGATGCGGTTGGTACTGGGCGCGTTCGAGTCTGTCGAGTCGCTGGAGGTGGTGGAGCGCCGGGGGTGAGGCCGAGACTGGTGGCGTATCGGGCGGCGTACCCGGATGCGAGAGGCCAGTGAGCCCTGGCCCATAGGGTAGTTTCAATAATACTCCTGCTTGGACGACGTGCTGTAGCTGGGGCTGGCCGTAAGGGGGCTGCTCGAGCTCGTGAGCCGGTGGTGTGAGCGGGCCCAGGGCCCCGGGACCGGTACCAGGGGGAGAGCCCAGGCTGCGGAGCTGCGCGGGCTCGTGGCCGAGAAGCGGCTTAGACGGTGTCCGGAGTTTGTCAGCGGCGAGAGCCGCGGCGGAGGCCGCGGCCGCCGCCGCTGCCGCCGCTTCGCGTTTCACGTCCCCCGGATCCAGATGATCCAGCACAAACTCCTGAACGTATTCACGAGCGAGGTGCTCCTCGGCTTCCATCTTCACCTCGTCGACCGCGACGACCTCACCGCCGGCCGCGGCTGCATAAGGCTGCAGGCCAGCGCCCGCCGCAACTTCGCTCGTTGCTGCCGTCGTCGTCGTAGCCGTCGTAGTCGTCGTCGTCGTCGTTGATGTCGTCGCCGTCGGGCCGGTAAAACAACTACGAGACTCTTTGTCGTTTATGGTAGTGCTCCTATTGCTCTTGGTACCGCGCCTGAGCTCAGGCATCCGACATAACGACTCGTCCGAATCAAAGGATGAGACGGGCCTGCGATTCCTACCTTCCGTCTACGTGCGTAGCCTGACGTATGTGCGCGCGCGTACGTATATGCGTATTGCGAATGGATCCGGATGTGTGTTGGATCTGTATTTTGGCCGTGGGTATATTGGCGAGAGTGGGTAAGCGGGTGAGCGGAAAAACGAATGAGAGAGAGAGAGAGAGAGAGAGAGGGGGAGAGAGAGAGGGCGAAACTCGAGACTCTGAGTGCATATATATATATATGTGTGTGTGTGTGTATGCGTGCGTGAGGATGGGTGGGTGTGACAGAGAAAAAGATAGATGGAGAATGAGAGCGTGTATTTGTGCGTGCGTGCGTGTGTGTGTATTTATTGATATATATATATATATATAGAGAGAGAGAGAGAGAGAGAGAGGAAGAGAGAGAGAGAGAATGAGTGAGTGAGTGAGAGGAGAGAGAGAGCGACACACGCGCGCGCCGGTCGAGCGAAGCGCGCGGCGGAGCGATAACTGAAGCGCGGAGGAGTCGCGGCGAGCGTCGGCGGCGTCGCGGCGCTTCAAGGGGGCGGGCCAGCGACGCCTCCAGCCCTCTGGCCCGAGCCAGGGGGAGAGAGATGGGACGAGAGCGAGAGAGAGAAAGACGCGGCCGGGTGCTCATTGGTAGGTGGGAGACCGCAACGCCATTGGTCGAGCTCCTCTGGCTCGCTGTCTGCACTCCTGCACCTCTTGCTCTCCTTCGCACCCTCTTTCAATCAGTAATCCCTCTCTCTCTCTCTCTCTCTCTCTCTCTCTCTCTCTCTCTCTCTATCTCTCTCTTTCTTTTGGTCCGTGCGCTCTCATCGCCGTTGACTTTGTCGACACCACCACTACCGCTGCCGCCGCCGGCACCGCCACCGCCACCGCCACCACCACCTCTGCCACCGCCACCACCACCTCTGCCACCGCCACCGTCACCACCAACGTCCTACGAAGTCTCCGAAGATGCAGAGGCAAGAGTGTGTAAGCTCGTTATGCTAATTCCTCGATTTTCTCGCTCCGCGTGGCCGGTGCCCGCCTCCCCATTTCGCCATGTCAATGTACCCGCGAGCCCGCCTTTGCCTTTCCGCGGGTACCTCTACCTTTAACTTTACCTTTATCTTTACCTTTACCTTTACATTTACCTCTGCCCCAACCCTCAGCAACTCGCTAGCATTGCCGTAAAGTCGCAATGCTGCTGTGCCTCTTGCGCGGGCGTATCATTAAAACGAGCAATTGTAAAGCCGTGCGCATTACTCGCTCACCTTATCTGGAGTCGAGCCCGTGGTTTTCCCTTTATCAGCGTTCGTCAACATCCTTGATAAAAGGAATTTTATAAAGAGTGATGCTACTGTCTACCAAATATCAGAGACTAAACTTATTCGAAGTGTTGAAACGATTAAGAAGTCGTCTCATTGTTAATGCTTGATCGAAAATTTATGAAATTTCGTTGACTTTTTAGGTAAACGAAAGAACTGATATTTGTCTAATGTCACAAAGGTTACTACAAATACCGAAATTTCTCAATTATTATTTTAGTCCTTGATAAATTGAAATGTTTGAACGACTAAATTCTATTCTATTCATTAATTAATTGAGAAGAGATTAGAAAATTATTCTCTTTTGTATAATGCAAATAAATAAATGAACAATGGATACAAAGGCATATTTTCCCGATTTAATAATAAGCATCGATAAATTAGTCCTTTATAATATTATTTTCATTTTAAAATATAAAATTTTATTTAATTTATGGATAATAACTTTTGCTCTTATAATAGACATTTTCATGTGTTGGTCTTCCCTCTTTTTTTTTTTTTTTTTTTTTTTTTTTTTTTTTTTGGTTTCATCAAATATTTCATTAAAAAATTTTCTTTTACATTTAAAGTGGATTTTTTCAAGGGGAAGCGACAATTTTTATTTTCATTCATATTTGCATTACTTAAAAAGTTTCATCTTTAAATTCATTTGATATATGGTAATTTAACTTCAGTATAAAAAAAATGAAAGGAAAAATGATTTCATTGGAATTATGAAATTATATAAGGATGAAAGTTTCATTTCAGTTCAGAACGATGAATTATGAATGATTTTTAAACAAAGGAAAATAAATCTCTTTATTGAACATTAGAATTTACGACGAATGGCGTTTCAATAATGGCAGTTTGACAAATAAAACTCATTTTGTCTGTTTAATACAATTTTATATAATTATTTTTATTTATTTTATTTTGTTTTTTTTTTTTTTTTAATATACAAGTTACCAAACATAATTAATTTCATAATTAAAATCTCATTAAGTTTGTTAAAATATTGTTTATTATTAGATTACTGCCAATATTCCATGGTATAATATAAATTTTTGCGCCAAATGTTTTAATATTAAAGCATTCAATTTGTTTTAAACTATTAAGCGACGGGTTTTATCGATCGCACAGACCGATGAAGCATCGTGCCAGAAAATCTTTACGACATTTTTACAAATTTCTTAAATTGACGCACATAAAACATTCATAAAAATACAAAGTTGATGGAAGATGGGAATTTAAATCTACGTTGCATTTTTAAAATCTCCTAAGCGCAAATGATTATGAAATCAATGACAGCGTTATTTCAAAAAATGGATACCTTTTTAGTTTTTATCGAACTGATTTTAAATTTATTTTAGAAAAATGTGATCTTCCCTCTTGTATTTTATATAAGTACTTAAAATATTTTCTCTCCTTACAATCCATCGCTATTTATAATGCATTATCCAAGTAAATTGTTTTGATTATCTAATTACGGTTAATCTCGAAATTTCAATGGTTTAGGAGTGGAAACAGGAGCGATATTATGTCCTTGTGAAAAATGTTCCTCTTACATGGACATCAATTTTGCATAAAAGTCGATCGTTTATATAAAATGAGCGATATTTGTGAGGGAGGTGCTTCGTATTACCGAGCGATGATTTATGATGATTTATTATTTCCCTGCGCATTAATGATTTCCTTCATATCACGATCGCTCAAATATATCGCATATGTCTAATAATTATAATAAAAAAAAAAAAAATATATATATATATATATATATATATTATAATTATCTTTATTATAATTATTAGACATATGCGATATATTTGAGCGATCGTGATATGAAGGAAATCATTAATGCGCAGGGAAATAATAAATCATCATAAATCATCGCTCGGTTCTATTATTCGACAAATTGATGGACAAACGTCAGGAGACATTAATTATTGGCGAAAGTGGTGTGGTATGCAATCAGATTGAGGGAATAATTACATTATACGCAATGCAAGCCGCTTATTTTCCTTATTTTTCATTATCGAGTAATTCGATTAATAGGCAAAGTGCAAGTGCCACGTGTTGCATACCTATTAAAATATTTCGACAAATGCAAAACTCGTAGAAGCCGAGGTTTTATTGGCTAAAGGAGCGAAAAATCTGCAGGGAGCACCAGCCGAAGGCTCCGAGGGATATATCAGTGACGGATTTCTAGCTGATCTGTAAGAAAATAAAGAAGGAAATGAAGAGAAAAGAAAAAAACGAATACGGCAAAAGTAAGGCGAGTGATATTTCGCCGGTCTAGACGGTTAGGTGAAACCGAGACCCAGAATAGGAACGGCGTATAAGCACCGATAGGATTGGCCATTTGCTTGAGCTGAGGAATTCGTCGACGTAGCACTTTGACATTGTCCCTTCTCCCCGACTTTTCCTTCAACTTCTGTCTTCAACTTCGAAGCGCGCTCGTTTTTGCTTTTACATAATGAATTTTTAGCCCGTTCGTTTTAGCGGGCGGAGGCAAATTACGCGCTCCGTCCGTAGCGTTCACGCGGGCATTCGCGTACCGATGATGAGACGATGGGAGCATTTAGAGTGCGACCGACAACCCTCTCAAAAGCAAGCAATATAACGTATAAATCGGTTGTCTCAAACGACAATGAGCGGCCAATGAGCGAGCGCGCGGCTGATAACTATGACGCTTGAAGTAAGCGTAGCAGCAAATATTATGATCGCTCGAGTCAACTTGGAAGGCACGAATCGTCACGACATTTATTCAATAAATAATTTGTAATTATAATACACTTGTAAATGTTTTATCATACGGTGTAATGTTTCTCTCTCTCTCTCTCTCTCTCTCTCTCTCTCTCGCTCTCTCTCTCTCTCTCTCTCGCTTGATATTTGTGTTGATAAACAATATCGGTTGTACTGATCCAAGTCCGTTTGGCCAGCGCTCAACGAACTTTTCTGGTAGATTTACTGCCTGGGCAATAGCATTCGAATAAGACAAGTATTTTTCTCTCTTGCTCGTCCCTTTTTTCTTTCGTAAAACTCGCATCAGATACGCGCGCGCTCCCACCCACGCGCACACATGCACGCGCGTGCGGACACTCGCTTGTACAGTCGAGAGACTTTTCGATTCCGTTTGATATAAATCAAATCGGTAAGTCAATTTGCGACTTAGTCATTCATCTTACATGACATAATTCTTATTATTTCTGAATTGAATCTTTGAATACTTGTCTATATATCTGCTTTATAATATGCCGTGAAAGTTATACATACTTTCCCTCCAACGAAACGCGATACTTGAAAATATTCTGCGAGTTTTTTTTACAAAATTCTCACTGTGCTACACGATCTAAGGACATACGCGAAAATATTGACGAGCTTCTGCTCGCATCAATAATTTCATGTAAAATTGTACGATTAGATCAAGCCTCGAATGCTCCATGACTGAGCGAGTAAAGATAAAAAGTAGATTTTATGATATAAATTTTAATATGTAAATGACATCGGCCGACGCTTCAACATAAACGTAAACATTGCATCAAACACGATTACATTTTTTTTGCATTCGTTTGAAAAAAAGATAAGAGAAGATTAAGAGGAAGAAGAAGAAGAAGAAGAAGAAGAAGAAGAAGAAGAAGAAGAAGAAGAAGAAGAAGAAGAAGAAGAAGAAGAAGAAG